TCAGGCGCTTCTGCGCTCCCACACCTGCCCTGCTGACAGACGGGCTCGGAAATCCGCCCGACGCCGGCCGTGCAGTCGGTTATACCAACACAGCAGCGTGCAAGTTCGCGGCTCAGGCTAACTTTGGCACCAAACAGTGCTGTTTCCGACACAACTGCTAGCCTGACTGAGCCCCAGTGTGTTTGCTTGCGATGTCCAGGGTGGGATACACAAAATACGTGGAGATTCCTGCAACTTAATTGGGACCAAATCTAGCATGATAGCATAGATCGGGAACTTTGTCATCGGAACAAATAAAGATATATGGGTGATGGCGACCTGGAGCAGGAACATAGGCATGGGGAGGGCCGTGAGGGTATGTGCCTCGTCTTCCGGGGCCAAGAATTTCGCACGGCACAGTGGGCAATTTCGCAGTGCGCACGGACTCAGGAAGGGGAAGGTACCGAATCCGTGCAACACCGACACGTGCCACAAGGCAGCGCGGACTTCTCAGTGTTACTCATTATCCTCGCGTGGTGGTGTTTCGGTCACGGGTCCCTTGGTGAAACCTCAGCAGTCACCCATGCACAATGCCAGGTCGGGGGGGGGGGGGGGCGTAACCCTCATCTGTCAACGTTGCCAAATCTTCCATCCTCCCTCTGGCGCCACTGAGCCAGCCCACAAGGCCTAGTGGCGCTACGCTCGATGGATTCGGGCCGAAACTCATAACCATCGTGCTGCATTTCAGCGGAAGTGAGCTGAGGCGAGGGGGGGGGGGGGGGCGGGCATTGCGCAGTCGCCAGCCCAGCTGGCGCGCGCGTGCGATGATGGGCTAGCATCGACGCTGCGCGTCCTGCCCCGCCCCGCTCTGCCCCGCCCTGTCACGCCCCGCCCGCCAGGACCCATCAACTTCACCGCTGGCTGATTATGAACTGCACGCGTAGTAACACCGGACTGGACCGGGCAGGATGTTGGCATAGTTGATAGCTCGGCCAGACAGTGACTGAGAGCTGGCTGGCAACGAGGCCACCAACTACAAATGCATGTGTGCATACGCACGCACGCACGCACGCACGCAGTGAAAGGCAAATACAAGTATATATATATATATATATATATATATATATATATATATATATATATATATATATATATATATATATATATATCTATCTATCTATCTATCTATCTATCTATCTATATCTATATCTATATCTATATCTATATGTAGTATTGTATTATACATATTAACATAAAAATGTTTTATAGCACATAAAAGTACATGCATATGTTTTTTGTGTATCTATGCATATCTTTATCTACGCATCGCAAGGTTTTTGTGGTCGTTGGCTGTTTACGTGTGGAGAGCTGTTTGTTGGCAGATGCTATCGGATTTTGATTATACAGCCAGTTGTTTGTCTTGTCTTGGTTTAAAATCGAAGTACCCGGTCATGTGTCGTATTTCGTTTTCCAATCTAAAAAAAAGAAAGAAAGATATTGTTTGCTAAGATCCGTTTGGTTCATGCGGATTTTGTTGGAAATCCTGTCCAATTCTGATAATGATTAAATGCTTGTCTAAGGAATCATTTTGCAACGCTAATCTTGTAGCGCCGAGAACATTCGGCGCCAGCATTTAAGCGTCGTGTGTCGTTAGTCCGCTTTCGGAATATAGTTGTCCTAAGTCGCTGTCCTAGTCCATCAACAGTCACGCCACGCCACAATATTGCATTTTCAATATTTAACTCTGGCTAGTTTAAGGCCAGCACCTGTTTTTGGGACTAAACATGGCATTCTGTGTTACATAGAATGTCATGTAAACATATGGGGACAGTATTGGAGAGTTCAAAACCCATCGAAGGCTGTATCGGACAGCACATCGGAGCCTACATCATTAGGCTCCGATATTCAGTGACATTAAAATGTGTAGGAAAGGAAGCGAGCCATGCGCTTCCATCGCTTCTGTGAATTGTTCCCCGATCACGCGCATAAATGTTCGAGGAGCTCTGCAGCATGGTACTCTTTCAAAACTACACGCGTGTCGTCCATGTACTCCTCCATACCTTGATCTCACGAGAAACTGTTCACTGAATCTCACTTCAGTTCCCCATAAACGGATTGGCTATAACCATGCTGAGAGGGCATTCCATCGCTTTTACCTGGTACTAGTTTTAATCATCGTTGGCTTGGAAGTGCGTGGTATCAAAACGCAGGCGTGAGAGTCCAATAATATCCTCGACCTCCACGTTGGTTCAACACCTTATGATTCCAACTTTGTTCCTCCATGAGTCGTTCTACCATTCTACAAGCCTTGTCAGGAGGAACGATGCGAAAAGTGACTACATCAAGTAATACCATTACTGCATCTGTCGCTGCCTTAAATATGTGAATGAAGCCGGTAAGTTCCTTACAAGACTTGATATGATGCTCTGTATTTCCCGCGATACGCTCTAAGAGAAACGCTAACTGTCTGGACGCGGCATAAGTGGCATTTTGCAATTAAAAGAGGCGATTCCCCTACGTAGTCAGTCCATTTAACGTGGCGCAAGCGGTTGCTTTGATCTTGTTAGCGCTCAGGGTTCACGGCGCAGCCGAGATTTGTACCCGGGCCCCACGAGTTAGTCTAACGTTGTAATCATTCGGCCATTACGGCACTCTATCATGAGAGACGGACTCCATCGAGGACACTATTGGCCATAAATACAGTCGTCCTTGAGCCACGTACTGGTCCAGCAAGTCATGCCAAGAAACGATATCACGTTTTCAACACTTTACTCATTTATTTTGTTTTCAACACGCGACGGTTTTTAACAGACGTGTTAAAAACTGTGCACTGCATGGGACACCCCGTAGTTAACACGTCAAAACGGGCGTTGCTCTTCAGTTGGCCTTGATGCTAATGTATATGGACCATACACAAAAATTACCCACATGCCCAAGAATTGCCGGGGTCCGGAACCCATTGACTCAATTGGTGGTAACGCTCTCATCTCGAACTACGAACACGCAGTTACCAGAGACCTTTGCGATCGCCTAAACGCGCAGGATCAGCATGGAATTCCAGCGCTCCACTGAGGGAGCCAGATGTGTTAAAGACCACCCGAAATGTCCGCGAGAGTGACCACACTCCGTCAGACGGGTCACCCACGCTCTGCGCCAATACGGGGGGAAGTCGTGTGCCGACGTTACGAGGCGAATCCATCACAGGCCTATTACATCTTCCACCGTCTCATGCGCTTTTAACGTGACCAGTTTGCGGATGACGTTTCAGTTGCCCCTCCACCCCCCCCCCCCCCCCTCCACACACACACCGATGTTCAAGCACGGAGTGAAAGGCTGGGCTTAGAAGGCCGTTGTTCAGATGGTCCCCAGCGCTGATTGCAGTATCTTATCTTGCCTTCGGACATTCGAAGCTCGTTCAGTACACATGCGAACAAAAAAGCGAGCAACGGTGATACGACGGTTTATCAGGTCACGATATTATCAAGACACGTTCGCAAAGGACCGCCAGCCGAAAGTCGGTTAAGAACATGGGGCGCCGTAGACGGCATGCCTGCTATTCAGGGGCTCGCATGGCACGCGTCGATTGATAGTGGTGAAGGCCAGTGAATGCATGATATTTTTTAAAGGAGTATCCTAAACGTGTGTCCTAAAGAGGCGCTCAGCCAGAGGAAAGGTCAGCTAGCCAGGCTTATCAGGCCAAACAATGAGGTTAAGGGATGTCAGACAACGGAGACCTCAGTACGTGACATCCCATGGTGTCAGCAGCGGGAATATTCCTCATACAGGTACATCTTCCCCCCCCCCCCCCCCTCCTGGGTGAACCCGGCTGCGCCCGGCTCAGCTCGCTGCGTGGGACCTGGCTGCGCCCGGCCCGCCCGCTGCGCCGCTGCTGGCCCGTTCGGCAGCGGAGCCGGGTGGGAACGCCGCCGGTCAGCGCGCTCGTTCCGTTTCGTTCCGCGGCGCCGCGCGGCCCGCCGGCGTCGCTCCGCGCACCGTTCTACGGTAATGAGCGGCGTAAGCCGGCCGCCGGCGCCGCCAACACCCCGGCGCTGCTCTCCACGGCTGTCGCGCGCTAACACGGCGCGTGCGCCAGCTGGCGCGGCCGGTAGGGGGTGGCGGCGTGCTGTTGCACGGGCTGCGCCAGTGCCGGGCCGACCCCCTAATGATGCGGCGCACACTGCTGCCACACCAGCGGCCACACCAGCGGCCACATTAGCGGCCACACCAGCCGCCACACCAGCCGCCACATTAGCGGCCACACCAGCGGCCGCATCAGCCGCCACACCAGCGGCCGCATCAGCCGCCACATCGGCGGCCGCATCAGCCGCCACGTCAGCGGCCACACCAGCCGCCACATCAGCCGCCACACTAGCCGCCACATCAGCCGCCACATCAGTGGCCCCATCAGATGGCGTGACTTAAGGCGCACGATGAGCAGCTGCTCAGCCTTGGTGCCACCAGATACGGGCGGATGTCCGTGCACACGGCAGGCGATGTGCTGACTGCTGTGTATGACGGCTGGGCAGCTGCTGGTGGTGTGTACGACGGCAGGGATGGGATAGCTCCACGCTGGGCAACGGTTGTTTCCACGGGCAGACTTGACGACGTGCTGTACTCTGGCAGATCGACAGACTTGACGTGCTGCAGCCCGGCAGATCGTGGTCGTGATTGAGTTTGTGCGCGGTGTTCCGTGCCAGAATGTCGTTCACGTCTGCTCCTGCCCGTGTGTTTTGTGCGGACGTAAAGTTGTCGGATCCGACCGTGTGTCGTGTTTTACCAGGGTGTTAGGGAGTTCTTTTGCTGACATGGTGTTGTATTCCGGCAAAATGTCAGAGTTCAGTTCCTATCAGTGTAAGGCGGCAGGGTTCTCTGAACCGGGCAGGACGCCGTCCACGCAGCTGCCCCTGGTGTGGTCGGTCCCAGGAGCCGGCCGACTGCTGCTGACCATCCGCCGTGTGTCGGCGCCGGCAGGATGTCGGAGAGCGAGGACGCCTCGGCGCCGGCCACGCCCCGCGCGCCAGGACAGCACGCCGGCCGCCTCGGACGCCACGCCCAGCACGCCGGGCGGGTCTGAGAACGGCGAGCCACGCCGGGGCCCGGCCGGCCTCCAGCAGCAGTTCCGCGCCTTCGCCAAATACGGCGACAGCAAGTCGGACGGGACGCAGATCACGCTCTCGCAGGCCGACAAGTGGATGAAGCAGGCCAAGGTCATCGACGGCAAGACCGTCACCACCACCGACACCGGCATCGCCTTCAAGAAGTTCAAGTCAGTGTTCCGCTGGCGGCCGCGTGTTGTGCTTTAGTCGTTTCCGCTTCACTTAAGCGCGATTGGTGATGAGATAGTTGAGAGGTCTGTGAAGCACCGTTGTCCTGTGGAGGTCGGGCAAACGCGCGACCGGTGAGGGTCACACGAGCAGTAAAACGTCGGCTGACGCAGACGCGATTTGAACTAAACATGGCCGCTAATTTGTGTGTGTCAATAAGTCAAAACGCCTCTTTTCCGGCCGCTAAAGCTATTCCTGACGTGTTTTTAGCCTAGAAGTGTATTCTCGCATCCGCGATAAGGAGAAAGCTTGGCTTTGATTTATTAATGTAGAAAACAGCCCACGGAGCTTTGAATTACCGCCTGCCGCTGGGATGAAAGCGGTTAATGTCTGATGCTCCGCGCCTCAATCAAACACATCCATCCAAATGATGCATCTTGGGCGCTGACGTTCAGATGAATGGCTCCAAAGCAGTCGTCATCAGATTCACTGCGTGGTCTATTATGCTCCCCGGTAGACTATGGTTTTTCAAGATTATCTGGTGCTAATTTCGTCACGTAGTCTGTAATCTTGCTTTTTGTGATGGAGACATCGCTTATTTACAGGCAGCAAAAGATACATTTCAAGGAGTTTCAGAAATTCCTTGACGATCTGGCGGCCAGCAAGAAGGTGGCACCAGACAAGATGAAAGGGAAGCTCACGGCGTGTGGCGCGCCGGGTCACAAAAGCAACGCCAGCGTAAGTGGTGGAGGATTCTGCTGCGTCAGCCAGCAAAGGACATGTCGCACTGACTGCGAAATTTGTGTCCCATAAGTCCCAGTTGTTCATTGTGAATCGTGACATCGCCGTTTAAACCCACGAACTTTGTTGGGTTGGGCCGTACTGAGTTAGTGCTGTCCTGGTTAACATATGTGATCTCCCGGCAGCATGCGCTATTCGGCATCTTGCAGCATTTTATGGGGCTAATGTTAGGCGCTTCTGGGTCTCAACTTCGAGGAAGTTTGCATAAAATCAAGCTGGACATACTGCAGTGCGTTGATGCTCGTCTCGATGTGTTTTGTTCGCTGTGCTCACAATTATGAGTTTGGGTCGTCTAAAGAAGGGAGGTGCATTTCTGAACTCAGCAGTGATCTGTGCAGTCAACCATGTAAGCGATAAACGTTATGCAACATGTAAATAAGCTACTTCTGATACGACAAGCAATGTGGGGTTCCGGTTATTTTTTAATGAAACGTCCATACCACCTTTCGGGCTCTCCACAGTTCAGTTTTGACTCACAGTTCGGATCTCGCGGCATTTCTCACTTCGAATCAAACGTAAACAAAATGATATGTGTAAGCACCGTTGCCGAAATAAATTTGCCTACGTCGCAATTAACGTAGAGGAGCATTGCCACCAGCTCCCTGGCAGGCGTACTAGGGCGCCAGTCCCGCTCGGCTCGAGCTGGGACCCACACTCATACCGAAGTGCCCTCTCATCGAGTAGGACGGCTCCCAGCCCGGCTGGTCCATCGCTGCGCATCGATCCCCCTGATATCCCCAGCACACACCCTGACCGCTCTTCCCTTTTGATCCCGCAGCCGGGCACCAAAAGCAACGTCTACGACCGACTCTGCGACGTCAGCAAATACGGCGCATCCCACCGGCAGCGGTTCGACGAGCACGGCAAAGGCCGCGGCGCCGTCGGCCGCCGCGACGACCACGCCAATTCGGGATACGTCACCGGCTACAAGCACCAGGACACGTACCCGCAGAAGCGCTGAGCAGCTGCGGCCGGCCGCCCGGGCGCCGGCGCGGCAGCGGGCCGTGACGCCGCCCGACCGAGGGCGGCGGCGCCGGTGCGCCTCCCGGTGCGGGCGTGGCAGCGCCGCCTGCGTGGCCGTCGCGCCGGTCTGCACATAAGCTGGCGCTGCGCCGCGCGCACAGGCGACGGCCGCCCGGCCGCCGTGTCGACGCCGCAGCGGGACGTCTCGAGGCCGGGCGTCACCACCACCGGCGGTGTGTGCGGATGGCACCAGCCACGTGCCGCCGCCGCCAGCGCGCTTGTCACGCGGCGGAGCTCAGCGAGCGGCAGCGTATCAGGACTGTCTGTTTACTTTTACTTGTTCACGTGGATGGCAACGGCTTGAGTGGCTTTGGTTCTGACTCACTGCCGCCGTTTGTTACTTCAGATGTGTGAGACTCTCACCAAAGAGTGGGAGCTGCTTTTGACGGTCACGCCCCCATGCGTTTCGACACCTGACCGGGGCCATGCATTTACAGTCGTGCCATAGAGAGCCATCCGCCGGGGCTCGCTGGCGCGAGCCGCAGCTGTAACGCAATACCCACTGCACAGGCACGCGCCACTGGCTGCTGACCTGCGGCCGCCTGCTCAGGTCAGCGGTGGCGGGGACGCGCGGCCACTGCGTCCAGCCAGGTTTCACGAGCCGCGCTGGGAGCAGACAGCGTCCCAGACCGCGGCGCCAGCGGCCGGAGATGGCCGAGCACACGGCATCGCCGCCGGCGAGGGTCAGAGGTCGGGCCGCGTTCGGAGCACAGCCCGGCCAGAGATGGCTGAGCACGCGGCATCGCCGCCGGCGAGGGTCAGAGGTCGGGCCGCGTTCGGAGCACAGCCCGGCCAGAGATGGCTGAGCACGCGGCATCGCCGCCGGCGAGGGTCAGAGGTCGGGCTGCGTTCGGAGCACAGCCCGGCCAGAGATGGCTGAGCACACGGCATCGCCGCCGGCGAGGGTCAGAGGTCGGGCCGCGCTCGGAGCACAGCCCAGGATCCGACGCTCGTGGCCAACTCCGCAACCAGCAACTCGCTCTCAAAACAGCGGTCTCGCTGACCAGGTCTCGCGCCGTGAGCTCAGCACCCGGTGTGTTCTGCTGGAGGCGATCGGCGCCGTGTCCAAGGGGAATGTGCCGTCCGAGGTACAAACAGCGGCGAGCGGTCGGGCTCGGGTGCCTCCAGCGCCCGCCCGGATCGTCCCAGGGGGCCGGGGTGCCAGTGCGGTGTCCGTGGCGGGACACCTGCTCTGCCACTGCGTCAGCTGCCATCGCCATTACCACGAGCCGCCACGCCAGGCAGATGCAACTTGTCGTCCGCACAAGCGAGTCTTTGTTGCCTGTATCCGTGCGCGGGCTGATGAACGAGCTCGTGCGTGCATGTATGTCCTGTTCCCGATTTTCCACAAAATAGTGTGAAAACGTGAGCCACAAATCCATCTGCCAAACTGCAAGTGCATAACTGCAAACACAACTGTTGGGAAATGTTTGACGGTCTGGTAAATAACGCATGCTTTAAGTCTTGATGGAGTTCATTAACTCTCATGTAAATAAGCACTGATTCCTAAATATTTCACTTCTGGTTTGGCTGTCACAAGTTTCCTTCTCTGCATGCTAAGCCGCCAAGAGAGGCGGTTAGCAATAGCACAGGCCTATTCCAACAAATTTTCACCAAGTGTGTGGTCACCCGTCTAATGGATCGGGTGGTTCGACGTGGTTTGTGGTTGGCTGTCAGCCTTATGGTTTTGACCAAGTGTTCACCTTATTTCCCGTTTTCTCGGAATGACATTTGCCAGCAACCGTCGTTTGAACAACGTCATGCAAAGCGGAAAAAGCTGCTTCCATCCGTTACGTTTGAAAACTTTGCCGGCCTGCCGCTTACGCGTCGTCAGCCACGTGAAGCCTTGTTTGCGATGATTGTGTGATACAATATATGCAGTCCATTTCTACGAATCCGTGTCTGCACGGTGCCCTGGCCCACAGGTCCGTTGCTCTCCAGCCGCCTCCGCTTCCCAATCGATAACACCCCCCCCCCCCTTTCCCCGCCCAGCCGGACTCGTCTCGGCGCTCGCAGCTCTCGGGCGTTAGCAGGCGCGCAGTATTGATTTCCAGACGATGACCGCGTGACGGTGGCGACGCGTGGCGGCCGTCCATGGAACCAGATCGGTTCACGGACTGCAGTAGTTGCGGTGGGCTCGTAAACCAGGCGTAGTGCTCCCCGTCCACTCTCCATATTGCAAATTCTAAGTTTATGACGTTCCCAGAAACAGCACCTCATATCGTCCATGATGTGCCTGCAGTCAGCTTCGGACCGGGTCAATGCAACAATTTCAAGGGGCCCTGGATCTACAGGACACATCGGGGGTTCCATTGGCCGCCACCTTCGGTGACCGTCACCAAAATACGCCAGTCGGGCTGGCCGGCGTGCGCCCCCAGCCGACTCGCCCGCTTCGACCGGCCTAATTACGGCCGATGAATAAATAACGCACAGCCGCGTAACGCGCTGACCCAGAAGGCGGCGGTGCTCGGCTGGGCGCCACCGTTCGTGTCCACCGGCCGTGCCGCGGTCCGCGCGCGCCGCACGTCGCACCCCCCTCGCGGAACACCTCGAGGTCTGTGAGAGGGTACGCAGAGATTTTCCTTGGAAGCAATCCTGACGACCGGGGGAGAGGGGCGGGGGGCGGTTAGGAATGGGAGGACGTCTTCTCTTGATCTGAATGGCATATCAATATGAAAGATAATTCGGGGACTTCCTAAAATTAGTCGTCCGTTTGAACATTGTTTCCCCTGGGGAGTACACATTCCACGAGCGAGCTGACATTTTGGGCCATTGGGAAGGCATATGCCTTCGCGCCTGCTGCGGCATCTCTTCCCGAATAATCTTTACTTATATCACAGCGTAGCAGAAATTAAGCTTTCAGTAAACTGCAGGCATAAATAGGTCCACCGGGTATTGATTTACCCGTCCTTCAACGTAGCCGACTTGACCCGCTTTTGTGTGTCTGACGAAGGTAGGTACTTTTATGGAGCAAGGTGCGTGCTGTTGTTGGCGTTCGGCGTGAACAGGTATTTTAAGACAATAGATGGTATTCAATGTATTGCTTGCTTTTCATGCGATTTCCGTAAAAAGCATCATGCTTACGCTTTCTGACTGAAGATTCAGTCGCTATTCGAAACGCCTACCAATCCATGGACACTTCCTGAAATTACCATCATGTTATTTACCTGACCAAAATATATATGCATATATATATATGCATATATATATATATATATATATATATATATATATATATATATACATATATACATATATATATATATATATATATATATATATATATATATATATACTACGCGTTTCATGAAGCGGCCTGAGTAAAGGCTAAATCAACCGTTAATAGAACATTTCGGATTGCCAATTCATGTTTAATGTTCATTTAAATGTCAAATACTGTTAGTGGTCTTAAGCCTCAAAGGCCAGAATTAATTGCACTTACTGTTCAAGTCACGACAGTGTGTCCTGTCTCAGTATTGGCAAGCTTGCGATTGGGTGGTCGGTCACTAAGGTATAAGTTACCCACATACTTAAGGTTATGCCGCGGTCGCGTCCGAGACGTTCAGACTCCCCGCTCTAGCAAGTGGTCACCCAGGATCGGGCTGCTGAGGCGGCTGGTGGCTTGACTTGACAGATGCCAGTTGGCGAGAGGCGAAAGCGCCTCCACGATTGTACGGCCTGTCCATGTGAATACAAGTGATGACCAAGCTTCCCCGGTCGGTTGCAGGCAAATTTTTCCAACTAAATGCGCGAAGTCACAGTCTCAATCAGTTATCTGCAAGCCGTTTGGGCTAAACTAAAAAGAATAGACTACTGCATTAAAAAAACACTGGCACGCTTTTCGTGGCTCAACGCAAGCAGAACTTAATAATAAAGGGCGACAACCTTATCCTCCGAAACCTTGTGTCCTCTGAAACTTTGCTGGAGTGGGGCTCACAAACTTCGCCGTTTGTCGCAGTCCGCTTGCTGACGCGGGGCGCCGAATCGCGACATCTAGACAAACGCCTTGCACGGGCTGTGTGACACTAATGGTGCATGGTAGTGCGCTGTTTTGCCCCTGTGCTGTATCCGGAACCGCTCGAAAACGTCTCCAGTAAACACGGCTTGCTGATAGCTGTTGCCAGCACCAGTGGCTGCCGGCAATCGAAAGTGCTGGTACCCTTATGAATCTTACTCTACGTGTCTTTGAAGCGGTTCAGCACCAGGTAGCTGACGCCTGAAGCTGAGGAGTTGGTGCCGTCAATTATGTCCTAAAAAGCCAAAGCACCATGACTCATTCCGACTCGGTTACCGACTCAGTTAATAGCGAATCTTTACTCGGTTTAATCATTCCTTTCTTAAAAAGTCCAATGCTCTTCCAATATTTCAGAAAATACCTAAAAATCATAGTGTGGTCAGGCAAATAGCGTGACAATGTTGCCTACCGAAAACGCTCGCGAACTCGAGGCATTCTAACTTAATTGTACACCATATAGCGCCATAGCGGTAACTTTGTGAAAGTTACTTTAGACACCGGCATTGAAAAAAACCTTAGTTTTGTCTGACAGGCTGGAGTACGCCCACCGCCTACGATCCATCTTGAACACAGTCAAGCTATACTGAGAGAAGTTATAAGCGGGCAGGCAGAAAAACAAAGCTATGTAACAGGACAGAAGTTAGCCTTTGGTACGAGAATAACCTAGAGTTTGCCCCTAAATATCTTCGTTCGCTGTGCCTGTCCGGATCACACGCTGTCATTTATCGCATGAAGCAGCATTGTCCAGTGCGGTTTGAGGAATATGGCGCCATGCATGTTTTTGGTGCAAAAGTTAGCTAAATGCAGTTAAATAAAAAAATCGGGGCTGGGTAACATTGTCGCTCCCCTTGAAAAATGGGGTCATGACCCCTCATCCCCCTCCCTCTTCCCTGGTCCTACGCCCACACCGCGGTCGATACAGGAGCGGCGCCGCTATATCTGGGCTAATGGGCGTCGCAACACCAGGTGTGGACGGAGGGCGCCTCGGTGGTGGAGACAGGTCAAAGGGCCAACGGACCGGGGGCGAGGCGTCAGGCGTGTAGGTGGGACATCTCTGCCGTTTGGGTCCCGGCCCGGAGTACGCACATGCCACGAAGCGGCGGGACTGACGGGACGGCGGGACACCTAAGTGGCGGATCCTGTGACGTCCCTTCGCAGAACCTGCGACATCCCATTTCGACAGCAACGTGTCTTGACAGTGGTGGGAGCTGCAAGCTCATGGGCTAATTATCGCGAGCCACATCACCCAACGCACTTGGGCATCGTACGGCCTTCCCAACGTCGCACACCTATCGCATTCTTAAACGTGATGCAGGGATGAGCTTGTTAGTGGTTACGTGTAATGATCCCGTAGCAAACCGCCGTACATTTAGGCCAATATCCGCCAGCTGACCACATCCGATCCGCCCGTATCGCCAAGGTCTACTTCAAAGGCTCGTTTCCAGGGACAGGAAACATAGCGAGCCTGATGCTAAGCACGATACACCATTTAAACTAATTTATAGTCCGAGTGGGACAGCCCGGGCCTGTCAAAACCGAAATGAAATCCGCGGTCTCTAACCACTAACTGCCACCGGTGTCGTTGCTAGAACACGGTAAACACCAGCCGTCCGCTTTGAACTGGCTATGAACGTTGCCACGGCCGGCCGCGTGTCCACGTCGCGCTCCAGTGCCACGGCCGCGGTGCCACTCGGGACACGTGCCGCCGTTCCGGTGAGGCTTGTTCGACGGGACACCGTCACGTCAAAGTGGGAAACTTTCGTGGATTTGATCACTCATTCAAACGCTTTGTCGCCGCCGTCGCCACGTTGTGTCGAGCCCCCGATAGTTACCGTGCGTGACCTTACCTGAAACAGGGCGGTCACGCCATTCACTCACACGGGACCAAAGCGGCACGCCGCCATCGGGGACCACCCGGCTGTGCCATTAATTTTCCATGGGTTGGAGTCCGCAACAATGTATCTATAGCAATGTTTTGCCTGTTAAGTCGAGCATCGGCCTGTTGTATTTTACCACCAGACCTGCAGGTATGCAACGTTATTATGCAGGATGTATTTGCAGCTTCGCCTTTTGGCATTCCCCATTCCACCCTGAATAATTGGCTCTTCTTGGGCTCGTACTGAACTTTCTTCTCAGAAGCCCCAATGCATCTCTAAAAGCACGAATGGCGTCAAAGACGCATGGCGCTAAAGGGCCGTCGTTACTGGCACGCGTGTTGCCCGATGGGGCGTTCGTTTGCGTGACGGTTTGCAGCGGGTTATTCCGTGTTATTCCAAGCCTGCGTGCAGTCCTCTCTGGGAGGGCCGGCCGCGCATGATCGCCCCGAATGTTTCATTGCCATTAGGCGCAGCCATCGACCGGAGGCAGGACACGCCAGACTTGAGGGCAGCTCACAGGCCCGCCGCCTCACCCGAGCACAGCGCTCACCTGATCCCGTGAGATGAAGAGCGCACCGACGATATTAACTAACGTGGCCGGCCGGCGACCGATATTAGCAGGCAGTCGGTCGATGCAGCTCATCCGGCCGACCCTCCGTCAGGGGTTCATTTGGCGACCGACTCTCCGTCAGGGGTTCATCTGACGACCGACCCTCCGTCAGGAGTTCATCTGACGACCGACCCTCCGTCAGCGGTTCATCTGACGACCGACCCTCCGTCAGGGGTTCATCTGACGACCGACCCTCTGTCAGCGGTCCGTCTGACGACCGACCCTCCGTCAGCGGTCCGTCCGATGTCCGAACTCCGTCAGCTGTCCGTCTGGCGACCAACCCTCCCTAAGCTGCCTGCCTGACGACCGACCATCTGTCAGCGGTCCGCCTGACGATCGACCCTCCCTCATCTGCCCGCCTGACGTCCGACTCCTGTCAGCAGCCCGCCCGACGACCGATCCCAGTCAACAGCCTGCCTGATGCCAGACCCCTGTCAGCGGTCTGTCTGACGACCGATCCTCCATCACCTGCCCGCCTGACGACCGATCCCTGTCAGCAGCCTGCCTGACGGCCGACCCCTGTCAGCAGCCCGCCTGACACCAGATCCCTGTCAGCAGCCCGAGCTGCCCCGAGGCGCACATCGCCCGACGGTCTCCACCCCAAGCGGACACCGGCAGCGCGCGGGCATGAGTCTTCCCACGCGCCGAAGGTGGAGAGCGAGCCATCCAACCGGCACCCAAGCTGAGAGTTTCCTTGGGTTACACCAGAAGACGCTCTTGACCCTGTTCTGGAAATACGGTCTTTTACCATCCACACGGCGGCCACTGCAGCGGCCGGTGACACCCTGCCTTCTAAAATACCGTGGCGCTTTCGCTGAATACACAGTCACGGCCCTCGGAGCAACTTTCCACCCGTCAGAAGTGTTGATCCCTCCGGTGAAAACGGCGGCTGCGTCCAGGTCAGCACAGTACCGACTGTAAAGCCTGCTTCGTCAGACTTCGATGACGACGCGAAACACCCCAACCCGGCACACATGTCAGGAAGCGTGAGCGAAGTGTAAAATTGATAGTGTCAATTGTTTTGTGCATGTGCTCGCGGGTTTCAGCTGCCAGAATTCAAGCTTCATGCTTTCGCTATCTGGTGACCGTTATGTATCAAAGGACGTGTCCATTTCGATAGCCTCGGAATCTGAATTTTACAGTCGTGTTACTAATTTATAAACCTTGAATATTATGGAGTTCTAGTGTCATGCCCCCAACCACAACGTACCCAATGTGTCAGTACCAATGCCTATCTGATAAAACTCGTGATTGACACCCGCGGAACTGCTCGCTCTTGCTATAGTTTTTCATACACTTCTGGAAAACATAGCAATGAGGGTAATATCACTCAACCGCATGCGTGCAGAACATGTGTATTTCATTCAAAACATTCCACAGAAACACGTGTCGTGATTTATAAAGAAATGCATCACCAAAACATACCGATCCAACGTCACACTCGTTCGTGTTCGTACGTGATGAGATGTGCAGCTGCGCATGGCACCCAGACCAGCAGGTGGCTTCCTGGAACATTTGTGATGACTTCATTCCATCAGTGAACCACCGAGGACCTCCACAGAAGAGGTCGAAAAGCTACTCAAGCGCGCCTGACCATCCAGTGCATGACGGTGCGCGCGTGACTAGACAGCCGATGACACGACGAAACGTGCACAATTGGCGCGTGACCGTTTGGACGGATTTAGCTGATTGGTCCCGTGGACGACGACCAAACACTGGCGACATCGAGTGTACGAGACGAAATCTCTGGTTCGCCTAATGACCGTTAGAGGAGCCTGAATCCCGTTCCGGGATGAACTGAAGCTGCTCCTTCAGCTTTTGGTTTTCCGCCGTTGCCGCGCGAGACATAATGTCGAGCTCTTGGCTGATCCGTCTGGAAAAGCAATATTCAGACGTTACGTAAGAATGAAGATTTACGGGTGGTGCAACTCTGCATTTTGTTGATGAGCAGCAATAAATTTAGTGAGCTTAATAACCCAAGCCTCAATTCAATGGTTTCATTCATACTTGGAGCAAGATCAGATCATATGTTGGCTTCAGATTAACAGCACTTAGCCATGCGACGGGAACATTTCCTTTCCATCTGTCACCGCCACTCCTGATGCTCGAGCTGGAACTCTCGATGCTTGAAGTTCTACGACACGTTAAGTTTTCAGCAGCACGCAACCAAGTGATCCAAGCCGTCCCAAAATGACTGAAATTACCCAACTATACAGGGTTTGAACCATATTAACACTTCGTTCCAATAACTACTGTCCGCCTTAACCACCCCTTGTTGTGTCTAGACTAGGAGCAGTCAGGGATCTTTCCTCCCCTGCAGCGTCTATCTAAACACATCAGGATCCGCCAGGGACCCTTCCCAGCAATGTCAGGGCCAGAAGCAGTCAGGGCCTGCACTCTCCCCCTGTTCCCAGACCGGAAGGCGTTCGGGACCTACTTGGTGTCGACTCGTGCCTGCTCCGCCTCCTGCTGTTTCTCGTTGAGCCGCGACCGCAGGTAGGCCAGCTGACGCTCGTACTCGGAGACGCGGATCTCGTGCGAGCGCGCCTGGTCTCCCATCTCGAACTGCAGCTGCTGCAGCTGCTCCAGCGACTCCTTCCGCACAGTCTGCGCCGTCGTCAGGAGCATCACATAGCCATCCGTCAGCATCATCGGTTCTCACGGACGTTCGCAGCTGGCTGGAGACGAATGCGGTCCAGGCCACCCGGACGCGCATTTATCTATTGTTTCTTATAGTCACCGAAGACGTTCCAATTCACTTATGGTACTTGCTGCAGGCTTTGTACCTTGACATCTAGCCCCGCAGCGGCTAGCTGACCGTCAGGGAATATTCCGACACGTTTATGGCAGTTTGTGCTTGTGAAGTTCCAAATTTCGTCTCAACCATTTTACTTTTACCGTGCCGTGCGTATCGAACCTCATTGGATGTAATAAATCCGGCAGCCAAAGGCAACAACAGATGTGTTTCCCACCGCTTGCTGCTGACGGGCGTTATCCAACTGACCAAAACTGCGCATCACCATTCCGCGTGCGCGCCCTTGACCTGCACTGACCTTGACCTTGTCCTTGAGCCGGAGCGCGTGGGCGCGCTCCTCGCTGATGCGCTCCATCAGCTTGTCGCCGTCGCTCAGCTGGGTGGTGCTGAGCCGCGACAGCTGACTGCGCTCGGCCATCAGCTGATCGGTGGCGGACAGCACCTGAGGCTCGGCCGGCCGTGCGGCGCTGGTCAGCGACAGCGCATGGTAACAGCCCCGGCTCGCCGAGTTACAGATGGAGTTTTGCAGCTTGTGCAGGACATTGAGATTATCTTTAGGTGCAGCGCTTATCACGGAGGTTTTCTCCGCCGACTATTGCCAGCGGAGAGGAGGCCATGGCCGTTCATGCATGCCTTTAAGTATTGTTCGCAGTTAATCATTGACAGTACACACCTGAGCGGAACGATTGGTTAAAAAAGCTGGCTGTAGTGAATACCATCCAAGTTGTCTAAACGGTTCGTAACTAGTCCCGCAAGCTGTCAACGACGGTCTGCGTGTCACAGGCGTGACCTGGAAACGGTCCCGCCCTTATGGTGCCCGCCCGGGCGGCAGTCACGCTCTGACCTCAGCCAGGTGCTCGGAAGCCTCCGAGTTGACCTTGAGGGCCGAGTCAAGCTCTCCCTGCAGACCGGCCAGGCGCCGCTCCAGCCGGCTGTGGACGGCAGCGACTTTCGTCAGCGGAGGCGGCAGGGCCAAGCGGCAGCAGCTGCCGCTGCCAGCTGCTGACAGGGACGCCGAAGCCGAACACTGAACAGGCAGCCGGTCGGCATGACAGCGACGCCGGAGCCGAACACTGAACACGCAGCCGGTCGGCGCAGTACAACTGCGCAGCGCAGCTGGCCCACTCACGCGGCGGTTTTGTTGGCGGCGCGCAGCTTGGTTTCGGCGGCCGTGCGCTGGGTGGCGGCGTCAGTGAGCTGCACCACCAGCCGGCGCCGCTCTGCCTGCAGCGCCTCCGAGTCGGCCAGCAGCGACAGACGCTCCGAGGTGTAGCGGCCGCGCAGCTCCTCGAACAGTCTGCCGCCCGCAGCCCGTCCGTCACGCGACGCGGCGGCGAGGCAGCGGTGGTCCGGTCCGCACCCCCAGAGCACGGCGAGGGCACGGGACCGCATCCAGGGTCAAGGTCAGGTGTCAGGCGCGTGCTGTGGTCCGCTGTCAGGGGCTGGCGCCTGAGTGAAGCATATCTGATGTGGCTCAGTTATTTGTCAGCCTTAACGTGGCAGATGCCGGGCTCTAGTGACAGACGCCAGGCTCCAATGACAGATATCAGGCCCTAATGACAGATGTCAGGCTCTAGTGGCAGATGTCAGGCTCTAGTGGCAGATGTCAGGCCCTAGTGGCAGATGTCAGGCTCTAGTGGCAGATGTCAGGCTCTAATGGCAGATGTCAGGCTCTAGTGACAGATGTCAGGCTCTAGTGGCAGATGTCAGGCTCTAGTGGCAGATGTCAGGCTCTAATGGCAGATGTCAGGCTCTAGTGGCAGATGTCAGGCTCTAATGCAGATGTCAGGCTCTGGTAGCAGATGTCAGGGTCTAATGGCAGATGTCAGGCTCTGGTAGCAGATGTCAGGCTGTAGTGGCAGATACCAAGCTCTAACGGCAGGACGCCAGGCTCCAGAGGCAGATGCCAGGCTCTAGAGGCAGTTTCAGAAGTGACGGTTGCAATCCCGAATCCTTTGTTTGGACCTCTTTACGTTTTCAGCTATAAAACTGTGCCGCTGAAGGTAAGAGGACTTGTTTGTTCACACTACATCAGTTTTCAGACAAAACTCCGAAAATGGATAATCAGGAACATGATGCGTAAAATGATTTCCGAAGGACTACATCAAATAGACGTCACATTATGTCTCAAATCGAACATTTTAACCCGCGTAGCCAATTCCCCTCTCCCAATAACCACAGCCCCAAACGGACCCAGCCCTTGTCACGCTGCGCATATGACTTGGCCCGGGGTTGACCGCGCTCGGGCTGACCTGCGACAACTCGGGCCACGGCCTGCTCGTGCTGGTCGCGCGGCACGCTGCGTTCCAGCTCCAGCTGCTGCTGGTCGCGCTCGGCCAGCAGCTGTTGCTGCGCCGCCCGCTCGGCCTCCAGTCGGGCGCGCAGCTCGGCTTCAGACCGCTCCAGCTGCGCGAGTCGCGCAGTCAGCTCCGACTCTGCGGCACACAGAGGAGCTGGTACTCGAGGCAGGAGGGAAGAGAGGAGGTACCGTTATCAGCTCCGACACTACCGGAGATAAGAGACTGGTAACCAAGGTAGCAGGAGGTGGTGGCCTGGCCAAGAGAAAATAAAAACGAAAGAGAAAGAGGACAGGAGAACGAAGAAAGGTCCAGTCACGTATTGCTCCTTGGCTCTAGCTGGCTATCCATCAGCTGTGCAGCACCGTCCGGTCCAGCGACTCACCCGGCCGCCGTCCTGCTCTGGCGCCGGGGGGTCGGCACCCCAGGGCTGACCTTTCTCGTGATGGGCCGCCATCATCTCGGCCTGCTTGTCCTTCTGGATCAGCACCTGCTTGCTCAGCAGCTCGTTTTCCTCTAGCACGAGATGGGCGTTCTCCGAGAGGGCCTTCCATTCCTGGTGCGTGACGCCCGGCTGTCGGCGGACACCGAGCGGGTCAGACAGCGCGGACAGCCGGGGCGGACGCCGTCCTGGCTGTGCGCAGACGGGTGGACACAATCTTGAGCGGTGGGGCGCAGCCAACTCGTCTCAGGTCCTCATCCCGCTTGTGTCCCTGCTGATGTGAGAGAGAAAGCGTGCCGGGCAAGTCCAGCAACTGACGCAGCTTTTGCCGCTGTCTGGTGAAGGACAAGTTGGCGTTGCTGCTGCGAAAACGCTGATGACGAGGGGCAGTCAGCAACAAAACTTTACATATATAGCAGACATCAACTTGAGTATTTCGCGATCACGTAGCCTCGGTCGGACAGAGCAGTGTCACGCGACCGCTCGCATCAAACCTCTCTTCTTGCCAGTCTCTGGGAGGGTGGTATCAAATATTTTTGTTTGTTTACATTGAACTAAAATACCACAGCACGGCATAGATAGCAGCAGTGCATAGCAGTGAGTACAGCCTGCCACGGTTTTCGTAAGAAGTTCGATCAACACCGGAGAGCGTATGATGGTTTTGGCCGTAATCCATAATGCATTTTTGGACTTGACCTGGATAAAGAAGCCGCTTACGCGCGTTTTGTCATTAACAGGGGCGCCTACCATCGGGGGCCTGTTTGCGGGTTCAGCTGACTGAGCGGGCGCAGGACGGCGCCCGTGCCGGCGGCAGACGGAGCTCGGTCTCGCTCCCGCCATACACGCCGCCCGGGCAGGTCAAAAGACTGCCTCAAGGTCAGTGGAGCATATTTGTTCACTGGCTGACGCCTACCAAGTGTTTTAACTGAAACGAGCTCCACCGTGGTGCTAT